AATTAATTTATTTTTATAAAAAAAAAAAAGAGCAAATGTATAACGTGCAAATAGTGAAATAATTATTGAGAAAAAATTGTATAGCAAAGAAATATTTTATACGTTTGTTAATTACTTGATTAAAAACGTAGAGATAATCCTCCATTATTTTGTTTCATTAATGTTTATTGCTAAATGATGCAATGTTTATTCATTGCACAATGAATACGTAATAATATCAATGATGAGAATTACTAATCGTGAACCCCTCTAAAATTTCAATATTTATGATAAACAGTTTGCACATGTGTCTATTTATTACCGCATTAGCATCACTTATAAAATAGATAACAAATACTTGATAAAGAAGATACTAAAGATATATATCGTATAATGAATTATATCCACATGATTGTTTTAATTATGTTATAATCGAACAAGTATTGATTGATAATAAATATTTTCATCTTACGTATTTTAAAAATGAAATGAAAAATTTATTTAACATTTATATTTAATATGAATATCTATCAAGTTTAGTAATTTTAATCTTTATTTTTTAATTTTTATTTCGTAATCCCACTTGTTTAATTTAATATTATTTTACTGAAATCAAAACATATTAATTTTTCTTTGTATATTATTCTTAAATGAAACGATATAAATATAAATATAACCAAATTTTGTTTATATTAATCATGGCTGGATCATTTGACACAATAACGATGATATTAATTAGATAAGAAAAATTTTGAATCAACTTTGAATCTTCTGAGACAAGATATTTTTTGATCGAGCCACCACTGTTCCACAATTTTGATTCCAAAGATAAGTAAAATCACGAATTTTGCCGAATTAATTTTGTGATAAATAAAAATTGAGAAATTAAATTTTATTGAACGAGAATTTTAATAATCAAGAGGAATCCGCAATCACCATTATCTCTTAGATATAAAATGATGTTCAAATACTTGGTAAGTAGCACGCATCAATATTTCGTGCAAACATCAAAATCTACGTAAAACATGTATTGACGCAACATCTAAACGTCAGCGAACAATAAGGGCTCAAGCCGCGCATTAAAACAAAACGAAACCATCTCTCCACTCATATTTTTCATCGGTAGGAAAAAAATAGAACAAATTTCATCCCAAACAATAAAAGGAAGATTCTCTATTCGAGGTGTATTCAGAAGCGTACTACCATGTTAGGTCAGTCAGAAAGTCCTGTCGGTTTTTTCCTTTTATTCCTATCCTATTCAGGATTAATCCTTGAAAAAAAATACGTTTTTTGGATGAATTTAAAGATTTTAGTCAAATTGTTGACCAAATTATTACGTGAATGAAATGATTGGATTGAAAAGAAATTCGAAGAATTCAAATATCTCAAAAAGAATCCCAAAGAGAATTCTTTTAACATTCTTTAACATTTAGATCGATTTCTCGATATAAAATTTCAATATCACATTAACACATAGTTGCACATAATTGAAATATATCTGTTTAATATGAAGAAACGAAAATTCCTCTTTTCTATTTTTAAAATTTAATAAAAATTACCTTTTAAAATAGATTATATTTTAAGCTGTTTGATTAAATTATAATATATTAATTAAATTTTTGTTTTCTTTCCATTGTAAAAATAATTTTGGATATAGAAATTTGAATTTGGAATTCTTATTTATATTGTGAATATTGATATAACAATATAATATCTTCAATTCGATTAATTTTATATTGCTATTTTCCATTCATATCCACTTCTATATTCAAAGGTGGATATAATTGGAATGCCTCGGGATCCTGTTCTCGAAAAATCGTTCTGTAAAAATCTTTAACTACATACCATCGTCATTCGATCGATCGATGCTCGATTTCTCTTGCAATCGTGTCCATCGAGCGCCATCTACGTTGAAGAACAGGTCGTCAGCCACTCGTGCACAAATCGTACGAACGAAGTAGAAAGATCGACAGGGGGAAAAGGAACAAAAGGGAGTTTGAGCAGCGTAGCGTTAAGGAGTATTGACAAGTGCTAAGCACGCCACTCGGAAGCTGTTAACCACAAAGCTGGTTTCTGGGACCGTTGATTCTTTCATGGCGCATCAGTAATGGTGGAATCAAGTATGCCGATTTGTTAACGAATGCTAGAATATAACCAGTAGAACCAGTTCAATTTTAATTTCGAAGATTTTCACTGTGGAAGAATTTCTTTTTGCTGTTCGAGTATTTTATTATAATTTTATTCAATATTACGATATTTGTCATGTTTATATAAATAATAAGAAATTGATCAATGCGAATCTTGTTATATTAGATTTACTTTAATGATCCATGATATTATTTTTTCAATAATAAAAACTGAGATATGTAGCTATGTATAGCTACATGAAATTATATTTATATTTTCGAAAGATTTAATTGTCTAAAATCACTAAAAAATTCCAAAACTTGTAAAATTTTAAATGTAAATGATGACAGAGATATGTCTAATTAAGATTAAAGCAGAATCTTTTTTGAATAACAAAATCAAGTGTAAGAGTGAAAACGAAAAGGAAAAACTTGGAAAAACTAGAAGGTGTGTAAAAGTAACCAAGATACTGCGATTTTAAGCTAAAAATGGGATTATTGAGTATTGAGTTGTTATTAAAATTGCAGAAGATTACTTGAAAAAATGTTATGGTATAAATTTTGCAACGTTTTAAATAATATTAATTCTGAAGAAATTCCGCTTAATATAAGTATATTGCGAACAATTGGATAATATGAACACTGTGTTCACCTTCGAACACTGAAGGAATATAAAATATACCGGTCGAGAGGGAAGTGGCTCGAAACCAAATTGGAGCACTGTAAAGCTTGAAAAATTAATAACAAAAATGCTGCAATTTACCGCAGATGCGGCACTCCTTTATGGCGCAAATTTTCTAAAGATGAACTCTCGAAGAGAATCGTTCTATCACAATTATTTTGAACGACTTTTGTTTTATATTTTATATAAAAATTTTATATAAAATATAATATACATGTATTTGTACTTGCATTTACATATATATACTATAAGTATACAATATATGTTTTACATATTTTACAATTAATGAGAAAAATATTGTGAACCAATCGAAGCTGAAATCGTGTAATAATTCAGCGAATAATTGCAATAAAATATTTTTAATTATTTTTAATATTATATGTTATTTTATATTTTCAACAGGAACATTTGAGGAAATAATTAGCGTTTTTAAAAAGGAAAAATAATGATTTTCACAATTGAAACTTAATTTTACGTTGAAAGCAATTGCAATTTTAGAAATAATTTTTTAATAATAAAATGGATATCCACCATCAATTCTAATTTCTGTTCATTCTAATTTCAACTTTCGATTATTTTATAAAGTATTTTGTCTCGTAAGAAATAAAATTAAAAATCTAAGTTTTAAAAATTTGTCACAAATTTAATGTTAATTAATATAATCTTCATTTTAAAAATGAAGAATTTAGCCATTTAAAAAATTTTATACTAAAAAATAATAGAACATTGGGTGGGATATGATCAAATGTCAAATAAATTTTCTTTTATTGTGGACAAAATTTTGTTTACAGTTTGTTAATTATTCATTTTTTATCAAGATTACATGTTATAAAAATCATGTTACAATATTTCAATCTGACGATTTAATTTTATTTTAAAAGTTAATTTTACAATAATACACTATTTTTTCAATCCATCGAATAGTTTTTTTTAGATTTGGATCTTTAATATCTTTGCATGGAAAAAATTCGAAAAAAATTCATTAGTATATTTTCAAATAACTATTTCTACATAATTAGATATCGAAAAATAATCAAGCGATATTTGAATATCCCATTAGGAATATCCAATAATTTCGTTATACCATTGCAGAATTAACAATAAACGATTATTTACATTAATTAAAACTGCCCTGTTAAAACGATATTGTTTATAAGACAATCTAACATCTCAAAAATTTTATTATACCCTCTAGATCACGCTCCACTATATCCTACACTCGATTCAAATAAAGCAATCTCCCTAAATTAATCCCGATATCTACGAGTCGAATGGCAAAACCAAAATTCAATCCGATCGATCAATCAGCCAGTTTTGCGGAACGATTTCGATACAAGAGACATTCGGTACAGAAAACAACAGCAATAGCAGTCATCGACAGATCAGAGGCGGATGAAACAGTATCGGGGATCGAGATCAATCACTCGGGATAGAGGGATGCCTAGTTTGAGGGAATCATTTCTAGATCTCGTTGTTGCTCTTTCTCCAACAAGGGCGTCCATATATCGAGAAGGTTCACGTATGAAGAGAAAGGATCCGAAACATAAACGATATTCGAGATAGGCACAAAAAGGAATCGAGGCATCGGGGCGTTAAGAGGACTCTGAGGAGAGAAAACGGTATCCTCCCGCATACGGTCCTCTGTTGACTGAAGCGACTTAAGTCAACGCCGCGCTTACCTATGGTCTAGCACACTCAACCTCTCCTCGTCGCGCATCGTTGTGCAGAGCGAGAGGGGACGATGGAGCGTGCGAGAGCTGCGCCAATTGGAGGGGAGAGCGAAGGATGAAGAAGGAGAAAGACGAGCAAGGAGCGGGACGAGTAGCCGCTCGTGGTACACGGTGGAGCGAGCGAGACGGAGAAAGCGAAGGGTTCAAGTATAAGGATACCGAGGCATGCGCCGTCCTATCATATTGATCTCGCCATAGTAACGATTCTCTCTTCTCCGGCGATGTTGGCATGCACTATAGCAGCGGGACGAAGAGGGAAACTCCCGACGAGAGAACGGCGGAAGGGGATTGTACCGCATGGTATACCATGCCACCCCACGATGCGCGGATGTGGGCCGCTCGAGGAGGGGGCAGGGTGAGCGAGAACGGCGGCGAGAGGGAAAGGGAAAGGGCGGAGAGGGAGAGAGAGAGAGAGAGAAGAGAGAGGCGGCGTTGGGCGGACAGAGAGGGAAGACGAGAGCGAGAGGATAGGCCGCGGTTGAAGCGAGAGGAGCGACATCGGTGGCGGTAGGCCACACAGAGCGCTAGCGCCAAAGAGAGCCGAGGCGGCGATACCGCGCGGCGCTGCAGCCAAATGAGAATCAGTCCAGCGTTGGTCGCCGGCGAGGGCGCATCTGACAACCCTGTGACAACAGATACGGGGACGCTCGAGGACATTTGGGGGAAACGGTCGGCAACATCCGTTCGTTCGTGATAACCATCATCGATCCCGTGCGGATCACAGAAGGATGTTAACCGTGGTTTCAGCGTCACGGTGCTGACAGTCAGACGCGCTCTGAGAATCGGCGGGGATCGGACGGCGGCGCGGAAAAGCTCGGTTATCGGGAAACTCGGTCGAATGAGCTGGCTCACCGACAGACGGACGCGTCCGTGAGCCGTGGCGACTCGTTTTCTCGTGTATAACCATCGCGTCTCCGCGACTTGGTGCGGTCTGTTGCTTCTCTCGAATTCGGGGAGGAGAGAGAATATTCATCTGGTGGGTGAAGGCGTGAAGGGTTGGGTGAGAGGAAAAGGGGGTTGGAAAGAAAGGAGTTGTGTGAAAATCGAGCCGAGGCAAAAGAGAGAACGAGCGCAACGAGTGGGTAAGAGAGGAGAAGAGATGTCCTCGATGCCCAACGATGCCGCACGAAGGCACAACCGAGGCGAAGCTTAGTGCGTGCAAGGTGTACGCGCGGGGACACGCCGCAGGTGCACGGAGGCTGTCACGTGCCCCTGATAGAGCGAAAACGATGCCATTGCCGTGCTCGAGGCACGTACGTTCAGGTGGACCCTGAGAGAAAACTGAAGGCCTCCACGGTCGAAATTTCATTCGCGTAAACGTAAATAATCATCTCAGTGCCTACGCAACACGGGATCCAGCTGGTACCGTTCCTGTTCAACGCGTTTGCAGCCACGTGCGAGGACAACCGAACAGTGAGGAGGTGGAGGAGGCGGAGAAGAAGCCGGTGGTGGCGGAGGTGGTGGTGATCGAGGAAGGAGCGAGCTGCTCCGATTCCTCTATCGCGCAAACATGAGACGTTGGACTCTCATGGCGGCTATAGCCCTGGCTGCATCGGGTGAGTTGGATCGGACAACGATCCATCCGTGTTTCTATTCTGAATACACGCACACGTACGTAAATATAAATATTTATATAAGATGAAATCTTCGTCGCGACACCAGGGAAATATATATACCTATTTTTCATCGTGCTCTCGTCCTAGAGACGATCGCTTTTCTCGCGACGCGTACGGTAAAAACCGGGTGCTTTTCCACTTAAATTCTGATCATATTTTCTTTGATTCCTCTTTCTCCGTGTTTTTCTTTTCTCTCTCTCTCTCTCTTCTTTTTTTTCTTTTCTCTTTGGCGCCGGTTTACTTTCACCGTTTCCTGCTCTCGTTTCTGTCTGTCTCTCTTTCTGTCTGCCTACTACTTCGCATTCGTCTAACTTGTTATTTTTTCTTCTCCCTCGGTCTCTTCGAAGCACGACGCGAAACGCACGAGACGGGTCTCTGTATGCCACGAGCTTCTCACCGTAGGACACAAGTTTTTATCTTCCACATCAACAAAACTCATAAACTAAACTCTCGAACTCTTTAAACCGCGACGATATCGAGAATAATCGAGCTGGAACCATGTATTCCTTCCTCGTGGAAATAGTGAATAGTTTGTCAAGGCAATCTTTACACGTCCGATCTGAACGATTTGCGCGCGCGTTGTTGTGTCAACCAATTTCCTACAATCGGGCGGATTGGAACGAGAGGCTGATTTATAACACGGCTCTCTAATATTTACGAGCCGCAATCTCTCTTTTATTGATTACAATAAAAAAAAAAGAATAGATATTTTCAGTGATACGTGTCAATATCGAGAGGAAAGCCACTCCGCAAGGAGGAGATATCTGTGAGAATCGTTTATTATACATAAAATCACTTCTTCCTCGTCTCGTATATACACGGTGGTGGATGACAGCTCGTTTCGATTAGACATTCGGCTCGTGTCAACGCGTTATATCGTCGACGAAAATTCTATTTGAACGTCTGCGCGAACGAAACGTGTGCGTCACTTTGAGCATTATAGCGGACAGGTTCAATGTTCGGCCCGTTTCGAGTTCGTTATCGTCGCCAGTGTTCAAGACGCGTAGCGATTTTCAAATGAGCCCGGGTTGAAGGTGTTGCTTTACCACGTACATAACGTGTTGGCATCCTGACGTCATTCGCGGCACTTTCTGCGTGACGTGCGCGCACCCACACTCTCGTTAGCACGCAGCAGACTGAACGTACATACTACGGCACCGAAATCACCGCTCTGTATAAATATTTGCACACCCAACACGGCCGATATTTTTGTTAAATTTTTCTCTCGACCAATCTCGATCTCTCCTTGATTTCTCTTTTTCTCCCCCCTCTGAACGTAGCTCACGATTGTCTTTTCTTTGTTAAAAAAAAAAAAAAAAAAAAAAAGAAAAAAGAAGATGGACAAAGGGTGTCCAACGAGGTAGATTTTAATTTGACGCGATACACAGAACCGTTTGATTAATTGGGATACCATGATCCATCCCCTATCGTCTTCTCTCCTCTTTCCATTCCTCTTTCTCATTCTCTCTTGCGTGTACAATCGCCACGGCGTGGGCGTAGAAAAGGATTTTCCCGTGTACGACTCGCCCACGCGGTTTACCAGAGACCTGTCACTGTGCTCGGGCCTGCTCGATTATGAACGAAATCGAGGGAGGAATTACGAAAGGATATTTTATTCTTGCTCCTTGATGCGCATTTGGAATGTTGTCAGGAAATTTCGGGGCGAAATTTTTGCATCGATTGACCGATATCATGTTATTGGTAATTATCTCGTGATCGTTGTGACAAGTTGACGATAGATAATAGAATTGAAGTTTTGCCACGAAAATGACAATTGAAGACAAATTTTGTGATTAAGTCTCATAAGTTTACACGGAAGTAATTTTTGTTATATTTTGATATAAAAATTGAGAGATACGTATCGATTTTGCCCTTTTTTTAAACATTGTTTTATTTGTTCAATTTCAAACTTTCTAGTGTTTTGCTGTTATGTTGAAATTTCAAAGAATCGAGGGCACATGTATCAATTTCATTTTTCTTTTTTTTTTTTTTTTTCTTTCTACTATTATTTCATTCCATTTTTTATTTGTCTATTCTACAATATTTCTACAATGATTTCTACAATTCACAATTGAATTGTGAATCGTGCGCTCAAAAGAAATATGATTTTGTACAGTATTTCTTGTAAAAGTAAAATTTTCCTTGTTTTTCTTCTTTTAAATGATTATGAAAACGCAGTATACGCCTGTTTTTCACTTAGTCCCTCAATTTTGTAATAATCCGTAACGAATATTTTAATAAAAGAGAGAGTATTTTTTTATCCCTCTGAGAGAAAAATAAAAATTCTTGACAAAGATCATTTTCGTTGTGAATCCTTTAATTTTACATTGAAAAGGAAAATCAGCTGACTCGTGTTCCTCAAAATTCACTAGAATTCTAGTTGTTTTAATATTGTCATAAAGAAGAACAATGATAAAAGTTTTTTTATATAATGTTATTATGTAAGAAGAATTTGCAAATGTTTGCAAATTTTTATATCTTAAAATATAAATAGACGTAACAAAGGGAACGAAAATGAAGAATTTCTTCTCTTTTGAGAAAAAAAATTTATATTTACGAAATTTCGATTTGCAATCGTATCTGTAAATTTCCTAACAAGGTTTCAAATTCATCCATATATATATATATGGATCATGTACAATGCATATACTAAACATTGTGTATACATATGTATACGTATTAAACACGTTCGTACGCATATTACGTACGTATGAAACACGAGTTGCCCAATTGAATGCTAAACATACCAATTATAGCGATTTCATTAGAATTCGACCTTTGACACTGACAAAAAAACAAACTTCTTAACAAATAGGTATAGGAATATAAATTTCTTGGTTTTATACTTATGGTATAAATTGAGAGGTTGCTATTTGAAAAAAAAAAAAAAGTAGGTAAAATTAAGAAATAAAAGAAATATGATTCAAGTTCATATATTCTCGTTCATTACTTTCGTTTTGCAAAATATATCTGAAATATAAAATAATGAATTTAATAATAAAAGCTAATTATAAATTCATTTTTTAATCCTTTGAATTTTTTGTTCTTCGAATTTTTTCACTCCATATTTCTTAATTATATATATATATGTATATCTTTCTTTTTTCCGGATATTTTCAATATTTCCTTTTAAACATATTTTTATATTAACTAATTAATTATTCCGAATCTTTTTTCATCGCTTAATTAATTAATATTAAAATCTTTTATCAAAAAGATTTATCTTTCCTTTTTAATTTCTCTCCTCGTGTTTCCTTTTTCGAGTTTTTTAACCCCATACTTTCAATTTTCCCTCGCAATTATTCTAAATCTTTTTCAATCAAATCAATATTAAAATCTTTCAACATGAAAGTTTGTTCACATTAATTCTTATACACTAATAAATATCATAATACACAACACACATTTTCCTTCATGTATTTCGTATTTCTACAAGACCAACCTCCAATTCCAACAAGATAACGCAATTTCACTATCGATACATTCTACGCGATAAATCATCCTCAATTTTCACGAGATACACTCCCCAATCGATCTTTCACGGAAGATACAAAAAATTAAACGACCCCCTCGACAAACATTCCGACGAGAAACACAAAGAAACGAAGATCGAGTGTTGGCTACGTTAACGATATTAAACATTCCATTATCAGTCAGATTCGTCGTTTTCCTACCGCAAATAACCGGCAATGGAAACCGAAGACACGCGGTGCTTTTTCACGATCTATGTAAAACTCCTCCCCTGTACACGGGCAAGCATAAACTTAACGTGAGAAATCGCTTTTCATCTTTCGAGAGAGAAGAAAAAAAAAAAAAAAGAAATGGAAAAATCGTTTCATCACGTACGCTTCTACACGTACACGTAGATGTGTCAATTCCTCGTGGCGCGAAATACGAGCGTGGCGCGATCAGTCGGTAAAAATGGGGAGGGCAACAATGAAACATAAATTTCGAGACGGCTTTATCGTCCGGCGATTAAATAGCGAGACCAAGAGGCGACGATACGTTCGGCGCAACGATAGGAACGAAGTTAACATTCGTAACGGGTGTATAAAAGCTGACCCATTATTTGCACGGAACATTGGTAAAAGTAGAAAGATACATTGGATGGTTAAACGTTCGGTAAAAGTTGCAAGATACATTGGACGATACTCGTTTTCGTATATGTCATATTTTTTTAAAAGTTTTTTTCTAATTCCCTGATAATAGAAAAGTAATGCAATATTTTCGAAGGGATAAGTTGATTGTTTTTATCTTATCTAACTTGAAAGTTACTCTTATCTAATTTACTTAGCAATAATATACTATTTGTTATTATATATATATATATAATATATAATATTTTATTTAATGAATAATTAAATTAATAACCGTTTCCTCTTTAATTTTAAAATAATGAAAATGTCGACTAATTTATTATTTAAAATTGTTTTTAAGCTCTTTTTTTAATAAATTGATAAATGGCAATTCGCAATATTTGCAAATTTTATGTAAGATATATATATATATTTATAGTAATTCGTATTAATTTTAATATTTTAGAAACAGATGTACGTAACAATTCAGCGTGTTTCATGTTTGTTATAACCTAATTTAAATTCATATAGGGAAAGTATTCTGAATTCTTTCAAAGACAGTGTATTTGCTTACACAAAACTGTTTAAAAGTTACGAAACATAATATGGATGAATTTTATATTTATGAGAGAAAAAATTCTAATTTAATTCATGTCTGCATATTTAAATAATCTCCATATCTAAATAAATGAAATCTAGATTAAAAGTTTGATTCATTAAAATTTGTTTGACCTGCTGTGCCGCCGACTAGAGATTTCTCAATAGAATTAAAAATATTAAAAATCTAAAAAATATAAAAAAGAGAAAAAAGAAAAGGAAAGGAAAAATTATTGCCTTGCATTTTCCATAAAATTTCTCATCCAT